GGGCAAAAATGAACTATTGGGACTTCATCAAGATAAAAAGCTTTTGCAAAGCAAAGGAAACAGTCAACAGAACCAAAAGACAACCGACAGAATGGGAGAAGATATTTGCAAATGACTTATCAGATAAAGGGCTAGTATCCAAAATCTATAAAGAACTCATCAAACTCAACACCCAAAGAACAAAGAATCCAGTCAAGAATGGGCAGAAGACATGAACAGACATTTTTCCAAAGAAGACATCCAAATGGCCAACAGACACATGAAAAAGTGCTCAATATCACTCAGCATCAGGGAAATCCAAATCAAAACCTCAATGAGATACCACCTCACACCAGTCAGAATGGCTAAAATTAACAAGTCAGGAAACGACAGATGTTGGCGGGGATGCGGAGAAAGGGGAACCCTCCTACACTGTTGGTGGGAATGCAAGCTGGTGCAGCCACTCTGGAAAACAGTATGGAGGTTCCTCAAAATGTTGAAAATAGAGCTACCCTATGATCCAGCAATTGCACTACTGGGTATTTACCCCAAAGATACAAAAGTAGGGATCCGAAATGGTACGTGCACCCTGGTGTTTATAGCAGCAATGTCCACAATAGCTAAACTGTGGAAAGAGCCAAGATGTCCATCGACAGATGAACGGATAAAGAAGTGGTGGTATATATATACAATGGAATATTATGCAGCCATCAAAAGGAATGAGATCTTGCCATTTGCAACGACGTGGATGGAATTGGAGGGTATTATGTTGAGTGAAATAAGTCAAACAGAGAAAGACATGTATCATATGACCTCACTGATATGAGGAATTCTTAATTGCAGGAAACAAACTGAGGGTTACTGGAGTGGGGGGTGGGGTGGGAGGGATGGGGTGACTGGGTGATAGACATTGGGGAGGGTATGTGCTCTGGTGAGCGCTGTGAATTGTGTGAGACTGTTGAATCACAGATCTGTACCTCTGAAACAAATAATGCAATATATGTTAAGAAAAAAAAAAAAAGAAGAAGAAGGTAGAGGGAGGGGAAGAATGAAGCATGGGAAATCGGAGGGGTAGACGAACCATGAGAGACAATGGACTCTGAAAAACAAACTGAGGGTTCTAGAGGGGAGGGGGGTGGGAGGATGGGTTAGCCTGGTGGTGGGTATTGAGGAGGGCACATTCTGCATGGAGCACTGGGCGTTATGCACAAACAATGAATCATGGAACACTTCATCTAAAACTAATGATGTAATGTATGGGGATTAACATAAGAATAAAAAAAATCATATGGAAAAATATTTTTATTTCATAGGGTAAAGGAGGAAGCTGACAGAAATAAGCAGCATCTTTGGAGGGGAAGCTGGAGAAAGAAGGGGAAATTATCAGTGTGTTGTGACAAAAAGACGGTCTTGCTGTGGTCAGCCAGTTCCCAGTAGAGGCTGATGGGGAAGGCATGTTCCACTTTTTTGGTACTTGCTCAAACTTGAGGGTAAGCAGAATTCAGGGGCATGTAGGAAAGAGAGAGGTCTCATTAAAGTTTGGTCAAGAAAAAGAAGAAAGTAGGAAATGGGCCATTGTGAGCACTTGTTCGCTTACTCTTCAAGTGAACTGAGATCTGTAATCTCAGTGAACTGTCTCCTCGGTCACATTTTTTTCTTCTATATACACTTGATGGCTAGTTTACTAAATTTCACAAAAATGTCTTGGGACTTAGATTATCATTGCATTGACTGTGTAGATAAATTTGGAAATAATAGCTTCTTTATAATATTAAGACTTCCTCACCCCCACCAACCTCTCTCTTTCTCTAGGTTATAAGTTCTTCTTATGTTACACTTGACAATTTTCTCCTTGAGAAACTTCATGCATTTCTTGTAGGATTGTTCTCAGGTACTGTAGAAGTTTTAGTTTTAAATTTTATTTTATTTTTTAAAAATTATTTTTATTATTATGTTCAAACAGCTCTTTGCATTTTAAAATTTGTTTTTCCTTTGATAGGAAAATCAATGCATCTTGAACTTTGACCTTGCTATTGGGATGTGATTGGACTGTCAGTATTTTCCAATGAATTCTCTGAAGCTTTCTTGGCAAACAATCATGCCTTCTCTAAGTAATGATTGCTTTATGTCTCTCTTTCAAGTACAGGTACCTCTTCTTTTTGGTTTCCATCCCATGGGGTTGAGCTTGGAGGTAGCATAAAGAATTATGAGCCTATTCAGTTATGGATTTTCAAAGTCTTTTGAAATGAGTATTTAACATGGGTACCATGAGATTGCTCCACAAGTCCTGCTTCCTAAGCAAAGGTAAAGGCCCAATGGCTACTCACTCAGAATCTGCAGCTTAACAAGAGATACCAGATGTTCCACATACACAAGGAATTTCAAGAAGCATTGTGGGCAGAGAACTAATTAAGAATTAGAGTTGGAATATGTCATGCCTTATACTTTGTGCTCTCTCTCTCTCTATATATAATTATTATGTTAGTCACCATACAGTACATCATTAGTTTTTGATGTAGAGTTCCATGATTCATTGTTTGCATGTAACACCCAGTGCTCCATGCAATACGTGCCCTCCTTAATACCCATCACCAGGCTAACCCACTCCCCCACCCCCCTCCCTTCTAAAACTCTTGGTTTGATTCCCAGAGTCCATAGCCTCTCATGGTTCATCTCCCCCTCTGATTTTCCCTTCCTTCGCCTAACGTCTTTCATGCTATATCTTATGTTCCACTTATAAGTGAAACCATATGATAATTGTCTTTCTCTGCTTGACTTATTTCACTTAGCATAATCTTCTCCAGTTCCATCCATGTTGATGCAAATTTTAGGTATTCATCCTTTCTGATGGCTGAGTAATATTCCATTGTATACTTTGCTTTTTAGCAGTGGTATTCTTGCCTTTACCAGGAGAGGGTACCTTATTTAAAACACTTAAAAGTTTATTTTTGATAACAAGTAAAAACATGAATACATTTTGTTGTAGAAATATAACACCACAAACACAAGAGATATCTGATTGATCCTCACCTTGACCTAACCTCCCTTGAATAAGTATTCTCTATTATCAACAAATTATAATTTGTTCTGCCAAACATAGAATCTATAACTTAATTATGAAAAGTTAGATAAGAGTATGTCTGTGTAAACATTACAATGTTAATAAATCTAAGATTTTAGAATTATATGGTATTGTGCTATGGACACCCAACAACTTGTACATGGAGATTTTTCCATGTCAACATAGGAAGAAGTGTTTCAGTTTTTGTGTCTGTGGACTGGCATTCCTTAAAACCAAAGTAACTTTTCATCTTGCCATTTCTTATTGATGGTTCACTTGAGTGGTTTGTGTTTTTCTGCCTTCCAATGCTACAATGAACACAGTGAGGTCATCATGCCCCTTGGGCTCCCTACTTCAGAGGCTTTTAAGGGCAGAGAAGACAGCATGCACTCCCCTGGATGAAGAGGACTTTGCAGCTGATTCCTGGAAGTTGGAATCCTCAGAACCTGGGAATTGGAAGTTTGTGACTAGAGGAGCCTGGGTACCAGAAACCCCTGCCTCCTGTACCTGGAGATCCAAGGCCGTGGATCTGCAGTAAGTGGAATTGAAATTTCAGGATTGGGTGGTCAAAAATCCAGAAACATGATCTGTAACCTAAGGCTTGGGTGGTGGGGATTCTGTGAAGCTGAGTAGGAATTCTGCATGTGGGAGATGTGAGGAATTGGAAGAATGAGCCTAGAAAGGAATTGGAGAGAGTCAGAGAATGGGGGAGACTGTTGTGGACCAGAGGGATGGGCTAGAGTCATTGGGGGGTCCTGATCAGAGAATGTGAGTGTCTGATGGTGGGAAGAGGGGTGGGGTCCTGGAAGAGCTAGGCGGGAGGAATCTGGAGCAGTGCTGGAAAGAGTCGGGGAGGATAGTGAGAGAGTTTTGAAATGAGGAAGCTAAGACGAGTCGGGGAGGATAGTGAGAGGGTTTTGAAATGAGGAAGCGAAGAGATCTGATATAAAATAGTTTGTTTACAGTGTAATAAAGAGCAAATAGCTGAGCCAGTATTTGAGCTCAGGCCAGTACAGACTGAATTTCCCAGCTGTAAAACACCCTGAGAATGTGCTAGAAGGTCAATCTGGGATTTCTGCTTGGGACTCTGTTTTGTAGGTTTTGTGTGGGGAGGGCTTTGTTTCCAGGGGGGTTTGCATGTTGGGAAAAGTACTGTATAGTGTCTGCTTCAGGAAGCAGCTGGGCACTTCCACATAGTGAAGTGAGGAGATCATATTGTGGGTGACTGGATGTTCACTCCTCCTCCTTACCCAGATCCAAAGGATAGTCTACGTCTTGTGGAGGATTAATGGTTTTTAAGGAAAGAATTTGCTGGGAGAATAACTGGTATGGAAAATATAAACACACCAACAAAACTTGTGCATTGCTCCCATAATCTGGAGAAAGTCCTTCTAGATGTGAACACTTTCTTTTTATTATGTTAATCACCGTACATTACATCATTAGTTTTTGATGTAGTGTTCCTTGATTCATTGTTTGTGTATAACACCCAGTGCTCCATGCAGAACGTGCCCTCTTTAATACCCATCACCAGGCTAACCCATCCCCCCACCCCCCTCCCCTCTAGAACCCTCAGTTTGTTTCTCAGAGTCCATCGTCTCTCATGGTTCGTCTCCCTCCTCCGATTCCCCCCCTTCATTCTTCCCCTCCTGCTATCTTCTTCTTTTCTTTTTGCATTTATTTTTTTAAATTATTTTTTAAAAATTTTATTATGTTATGTTAGTCACCATACAATAATACATCATTGGTTTTTGATGTGGTGATCCACGATTCATTGTTTTCATATAACACCCAGTGCTCCATGCAGTACGTTCCCTCCTTAATACCCATCACTGGCCTAACCAATCCCCCCTCCCCCTCCCCTCTAAAAACCTGTTTCTCAGAGTCCATAGTCTCTCATGGTTCATCTCTCCCTCCAATTCCCACCCCCCCGATTTTTCCCTTCCTTTTCCTAATGTCCTCCATGCTATTCCTTATGTTCCACAAATAAGTGAAACCGTATGATAATTGACTTTCTCTGCTTGACTTATTTCACTCAGCATAATCTCTTCCAGTCCCATCCATGTTGATGCAAAAGTTGGGTATTCATCCTTTCTGATGACTAATATTCCATTGTATATATGGACCACATCTTCTTTATCCATTCATCTGTTGAAGGGCATCTTGGCTCTTTCCACAGTTTGGCTATTGCGGACATTGCTGCTCTGAACATTGGGGTGCATATGGCCCTTCTTTTCACTACATCTGTGTCTTTGGGGTAAATACCCAGTAGTGCAATTGCTGGGTCATAGGGTATCTCTATTTTTAAATTTTTGAGGAACCTCCACACTGTTTTCCAAAGTGGCTGTACCAACTTGCACAGAAATCAGTTGCTTTCTTATACACTAACAATGCAACTGTAGAAAGAGAAATTAGAGAAATGATTCCATTTACAATAGCACCAAAACCCATAAGATACCTCAGAATAAACCTAACCAAAGAGGTAAAGGATCTATACTCTAGGAACTACAAAACCCTCATGAAAGAAATTGAAGAAGACACAAAAAGATGGAAAAATATTCCATGCTCATGGATCAGAAGAATAAACATCGTTAAAATGTCTATGCTACCCAGAGCAATCTATACCTTCAATGCCATCCCGATCAAAATTCCAATGACATTTTTCAAAGTGCTGGAACAAACAATCCTAAAATTTGTATTCTTTTTTTTTTTTAACATATAATATATTATTTGTTTCAGAGGTACAGGTCTGTGCTTCAACAGTCTTACACAATTCACAGCACTCACCATAGCACATACCCTCCCAGAGGGTAGATGTGAACAGTTTAAAGTGAAAAGTAGATAGTTATCCATATCATGTGAATTTATTTCTTTGTGCTTTGTAGCAACTTAGAATTTTCTTTTTATTTTTCAGATCACAAATATGTGAATATTCTCTTTTTAAATAATGTTAACAATGTATATATACAGCAAAATAGGAAAAATCTCCCCTACATCACATGGCTGCCTCTTCCAAGACACAGGCAAGATGTACACTTTGAAATGTACTTATTAACTTTTCTAAACATTAATATACATACATCATAAAATCTTGTACCAAACTATGAGAATAGAAGTGGTTCATAGTTGAAATATAAAGGAGATGAAGAAAGCTCAGGTAGAAAGATAGCAAGTTTTCCAGGGACTGTTGAGACATAGAAGCCAGACACACAAGAGGAGTATTTCAAAATGGAGGAGGCAAACACAGCATCCAGTACTGCCAAGAGTATCAAGTGCTGTCAAGAAAGCTAAGAGGACCAAAAGATATTTATAAGTGGAGAACATTGGAGGCCTAAGAGAGAGCTCTTTTGGTAGAATGATGGAGGCAAAATCCAGTTTCGAATATCTGGAGGAAGAAGAGGGAGGAATCAAATATATAACAATACTTCAGTGTCAGAGAGAGATTTAACATGTTGCAAAGCAGGTGGAAAGGATGCTATTGAGGACATGAGACCAAATATATTAGAAAGAAAATGTATGATCAGTAATGTGAAGTTACTGAGAAGTCAGGAGGTGTGCAGGTTGAAGAATTAGTGTAAAAGGTAGGAAGTATATTTTGTCTATCTGTGGTGACAAGATGGAATGAGGAGACAATGAACAGGATGCCAAATGGTTGGTGTTTTTGAGAGTGCGAAATTAACCTTGTTTCTTCCTGCTGACTCATGTTTTCTATATGAAGAATTCAGTAAGAAGATCTGCTGGAAAGAGGAAAAAGTTCGAAGGATGAGATTTTGATGAGTAGAGCATTTGGGAAGGAACAGTCTCAGAAGGAGGACAAGCAAGTGGGGGAGAGATGTGCAGATGACTTGGCAGGCAGGGTGGGGGTCACTGAAGTTGGGGGAAAGTAGAGGAGGCTGAAGGCCTTGCATAATTGACATAAGCCCTGTGAGTCTCATTTTCTTTCCAGAATGACTTGGGATAAAGGATGGGCGGTGACTGTGCAGTTTGTGCATCATTGCTCCAGATCATTAATTCCTAATTATTTAGCTGACCAAGTTTCCCTCTCTGCTTATAAGTATCTATCTTTTGTATCTTCTCCCCAAGTACAATTAGAAACCATATGCAACATGTCACACAAAGGGGGTGCTCTACAATTGTGGGGAAAGAGGACAGTCATGCAAGGGTCAATGTGAGCATAGAACCTCAGTGAGTGTAAGTATAGGAAGACCTCATTTCAAGACAGGGAAGTGCCTTCAAGTGAGTCCAGGGGTAAACTTGGTGTGAACCATCCAATATATCCCAGGTTGTCCAGTGAGATAGGCATGAGCTTGTCAAGAGGATTGGTTAGTGAAATGCTCTGGGAGCACTGCATAATATTACCAACTGTGTTTGGAGGCATCAGACATGGTCCCACTTGAGAGCATGTACTTCTCTGACTCGGCTTTGGTTTTCCTGACCTCTTTGAACCATTTTTTGTATTGTTCCCGGACCTGCAGAGGCAAAGCATGTGTGGGTCAGCTCACCAAAGGCAGTAAGGATGGTAGGAGGACCGGGGGGTGGGGGGGAGTCGGGCAGTGGTACCTGCTGGCTGAGGAGGCAGTACACCAGGAAGATGAAGATGCCCTGCAGGCTGTTGATGATGGTGAAGAGGTAAGCCATGACATGGGCAGCTGGACCCACCTGCAGGATGCCCAGGCACCACGTGCAGCCCAAGATGAGCAGCTGAGCTGTGGCTTTAAATGTCAGCATCCTGGGTAGGAGGAGAAAGGAGGTCGTGATGCACCCAGAGCAACACAACCAGGGCTGGTTTCAAGTCCACTCCACGATGCTTCTGACTGAGTTGTGATCAACTTTGATCTTTATTGTCAATGGTTCCTAAAGAGAAACATTATTTGGGTCCAGGATGGCATTTTGACTAGGACTGAGGATAATGGTGACACCTGAGAATGTGAGTTTCAAACAGATGATGATGTTTCATGAAGATCCTCAATTTTGTTCAGCTGACATTACTGAGAATGTTCTGTGCACCTGGGGCTAGGGCATTCAAAACAACAAAAACAAGACTTCTGTTTTTACAGACCTTAAAGTCTAGTGGAAAGACAAGAACAAATGATTTGTGTGTGTGTGTGAAGTGAAGTACTTCTTTCCATCCAGGGCTGTTCCTTTCCTCACCCTCTCCATGAACTGAACCAGGACATGCTTTGCCCAGAATAGAGCCCATTGATTCTGTGCAAAGTTGAGGAAAGCAGAGGACATCCCCAAACTGTTAGATGATGTGATATGTGGGTGTTGAAGCTGAGTTCACCAGGTGAAAGGGAAGGGGAAGGCAGAGGGCAGAGCATGCATGAAGGCATGGGCATGATGTGGTATGCTGGTTCTGGAAACTGTTGTGTGATTTCCTGCGTGTGTTATAAGTATGTGAATGTTCTCAGGACCTTTTTCATAGGGCAATGGTAGCAATCCCTGCTTATCAGAACAAAGCCCATTCTCTCTGCAGCTGAAGCGGTTTGTTGTTATGGTTGTGCATGGGTGGGATGTTTTTTTGGCATGGGTGTCAGCAGCAAACCACAGAATCTGATCTGGCTGCCAAGGAGAGTGGCTGCACCTCTCTCTTCCAGGCCCCCCAGGAGCACTGTGAAGGGACACCAGAGCCTTGGACGCGTGAGGATAATGTTCTGTATGGGGGGTGGTGTGCACCTGTGACCCATCCTCACCTTGTGTTCTGGAGTGTGGACACATCTCTGTTGTTGGAGGAGAGCTTGGTTTTCACAATCCAGAAGGTCATCAGAAAGAAAGCCAAATTAATCTGCAGAAAACCCACAGGTATATTAACTACACTCCACATCTGGCAAACCTTCGTCCTAGCTCATCCAGCTCCTAACCTGGCAGGGAAGAAGCTTTTGTGTTTTGTAACAGTCCTAGAAAAGCAAACCAAACACCCAGTAACTCAGGCCCATGTTTGCCCTGTAACTTCGGTGACCACTTCCATTCAGTTTGCATGGGAATTACAAATGTTAGCACTGAAAGTGCCACATCTCAGGAAACACCTTAGTCCTGGTTTTACAATGGGAATTCCCACCTCCTGGGAGCCCCTCATCAGTCCTGGGCCAACTGGAATGACTGCTCACCCTGCCTGTCACCCTCCTGATACACCTGATCTTTGAATAACCCTCAGCTGGGCAGGCGGGTTGCTCTGATGTCATCCATTACTCACGGAGAAAATGGTGCAGATGGGGCCAAAGAAGGTCCATATGAATCCTTTGTCTGTGTGGAGCCAGCATCTTAGAGAGAGATGGGAAGAGATTCAAGAAAATATTGGCTTTCATAGACAAAGGACTGATAAATAAACATACCCCTCCCTTCCCAATGTTTCTTCCTTCCTCCTTCATTATTATTATTATTATTATTTTACTGTTGCTGTCGTTGTGTAAGAACATTGAACATAAGATCTATCCTCATAACAAATTTTCAGTATACAACACTGTCATTTATTGTCGCAATGGTTTATACTTGATATCTTGATCCTATTTATCTTATATTACTGAAACTTTGTATATGCTCTTGATAGTGGTCACGGTTACATGGGTGTATACTTATTCCCAAACCCATTAGGTTTTATACATTCAGTATGTTCATCTTATTCCATGTGAAGCATTCTGTAATAAAGTTGTTTTTAAGAAACATAAATTCCTTTCAAAGAGCTCTTTTAAGTTTTGGCTTCCAGAAATGCCGGCAGAAATAAATATAAATTTTTTTAAAGGAAAAAAAAGAATCAATCAGTAAAATAAATTATATATATATATTTTTTTCTTTTTTTCTGGACAAATATCAAGTATATCCTCTGTGTCAGGATCTGTGCTTGGCCCTGAAGACCCAGTTGGGATTACGGTAGAGTGGTCTCAGTCCTCAGGGAGACACAGATGAAGTTGGAGGATCAACAATTAGACAATAGACAAAATCAAGATGATGAATTTTATTATCAAGTATGAGGAGCTATGAGGATATGTAGCTGGATCCATAATCTAGTCCAGGGTATAGGAGATCTCAATAGTTGGAAAGGGTTTCCCTGAAAGAACTGAATTATTTTTTTTAATTTAATTTTATTATGTTATGTTAGTCACCATACAATACATCATTAGTTTTTGACATGGTGATCCATGATTCATTGTTTTTGTATAACACCCAGTGCTCCATGCAGTACGTGCCCTCCTTAATACCCATCACCAGTCTAACCCATCCTCCCCCCAAAAAAACCCTCATTTTGTTTCTCAGAGTCCATAGTCTTCCTCCGAATCCCCCCCCTTTGTTTTTCCCTTCCTTCTTCTAATGTCCTCCATGCTATTCCTTATGTTCCACAAATAAGTGAAACCATATGATAATTGATTTTCTCTGCTTGACTTATTTCACTTGGCATAATATCCTCCAGTCCCATCCATGTTGATGTAAAAGTTGGGTACTCATCCTTTCTGATGGCTGAGTAATATTCCATTGTATATATGGACCACATCTTCTTTTTTTTAAATTTTATTTTATTATGTCATGTTAGTCACCATACAATACATCATTAGTTTTTGATGTAGTGATCCACGATTCATTGTTTCGTATAACACCCAGGGCTCCATGCAGTACGTGCCATCCTTAATACCCATCACCAGGCTAACCCAACCCCCCCACCCCCCTCCCCTCTAAAACCCTCAGTTTGTTTCTCAGAGTCCATAGTCTCTCATGGTTCATCTCTCCCTCCAAATTTCCCCCCTTCATTTTTCCCTTCCTTCTCCTAACGTCCTCCATGCTATTCCTTATGTTCCACAAATAAGTGAAACCATATGATAATTAACTTTCTCTGCTTGACTTATTTCACTTAGCATAATCTCCTCCAGTCCCATCCATGTTGATGTAAAAGTTGGGTATTCATCCTTTCTGATGGTTGAGTAATATTCCATTGTATATATGGACCACATCTTCTTTATCCATTCATCTGTTGAAGGGCATCTCGGCTCTTTCCACAGTTTGGCTATTGTGGACATTGTTGCTATGAACATTGGGGTGGATATGGCCCTTCTTTTCACTACATCCATTTTGTTTCTTAAATTCCACATATATGTGAAGTCATATGATATTTGTCTTTCTCTTACTGACTTATTTCATGAGCATAATACCTTGTAGTTCCATCCACGTCATTACCAATGGCAAGAATTCATTCTTTTTGGTGGCTGAGTAATATTCCATTGTAAATATAAGTGCCACCTCCTTTTTTATCTGTTCATCTGTTGATGGACATCTGGGCTCTTTCCATAATGTACGTGTGGAGGCATAAGGAAAGTGCCGTATACTTAATGAAACAACTGTGTAGAATGCATCTCTCAACTAACATCTTCTTTCATGAAGATAGAAGCATTTTCAAATATGTGTGTGGAAGCATAAAGAAAATGCCCTATACTTTGAAACAACACTGTGTAACAGATGAGCATAGGGGAAGGGAAGGAAAAATAAAATAAGTTGAAAATTGAGAGGGAGGCAAATCATAAGAACTGAATTGTTTTAAAGCTGAGATGTGAAGGATGAGTATGTGTAGACAAGGTGAAAATTTTGGACCATCCAAGAAGTGAGTACAAAAAAACCCCAAAAGAAACAAAACAGCAAGCCTGCCCCAGCAGTAAGGCTCATGTGCATTACATAACTTACTCCTCATGAGGACACAGGTACTCACACACTCACAGATCAGGCATCTCAAGGCCACACTGAGAACAATGACAGAGCTGGACTTTATCCCCAGGGAGGGGAGCTGTGAGTGAGGTGGGAGGTGTGAGGACTGGGGAGAGGGTCAGATGGACCCAGGGGGAAGCATCAAAGGGAAGCTTCGAAGGTAGGCATTGGCAAAGCAGGCGGCTGCCGCCTGCTCTTATAAGTAGGTTTTATAGGAACACACACTCATTCCCTCCTGAACTGTCTGTGGTTCTGTTTGTGCTCTGAGGACAGGACTGAGTAGTTGCCACAGAGACTATAGGACCCACAAAGCTGGAATTTATTGATTATCTGGCCCTTTATGGAAAAAGTTCATTGACCTTTATGCTCAACCCCCTAGGGAGGCCAGCTGGCCAGGGCTCCCTGATGCAGCTGAGCACTCATGTCATCAGGATAAGCGCATAATGTGAGCACCAGACTGGAAGTGACCCCAGCTCTGCCACCAACCAGCTGTGTGATCTTGGCCATGTTAGTTAATCTCCTTGTGCCTCAGTTACTCATCTGTAATATGGCTTATTACTAGTTTCTACTGCACAGGTTGTTGGGGCGATGATTTGAACTGACATGTGAAAAATATTTAGAACAGTGATTGTATATCAGAAGTGATTTTTAAATCTTAGCTGTGGTTACAGTTATTTCGTCATCCAAATGACCCTTCGTTTCTTTTAAAATTAAGATAGAGAAGGAGTTTACACAAATCAATGCCTCCCTTTATGTCACTTTTGTTTTCTAGATTTTAAAAGAACACCCTCAATTAATACAATGAATATTTTATTAATAGACATTTACTAATATATGAGATGCAATTAATATTATACTAATACATAGTCATTTATATAATATGCACTGACTATTTAAAATAATTGAAGAATAGAGAACCCAGAAATGGACCCTTAACTCCACGGTCACCTAATATTCAACAAAGTGGGAAAGAATATCCAATGGAAAAGAGACAGTCTCTTCAACAAATGGTGTTGGGAAAATTGGACAGCCACATGTGGAAGAATGAACCTGGACCAGTTTCTTACACCATACACAAAAATAAACTCTAAATGGATGATAGACCTAAACATGAAACAAGAATCCATCAAAATATAGAGAAGAACACAAGCAGCAACTTTTTTGACCTCAGCCATAGCAACTTCTTGTTAAACACATCTCCAAAGTCAAGGGAAACAAAAGCAAAAATGAACTATTGGGACTTCATCAAGATAAAAAGCTATTGCACAGCAAAGGAAACAGTCAACAAGAATGAAAGGCAACCTATGGAATGGGAGACAATATTTTCAAATGTCTTATCATATAAAGGGCTAGTATCCAAAATCTATAAAGAATTTATCAAACTCAACACCTAAAAAACCAAATATTCCAGTCAAGAAATGGGTAGAAGAAATGAACAGGCATTTCTCCAAAGAAGACATTCAAATGGCCAACAGACACATAACGAAAATGCTCCACATCACTTGGCATCAGGGAAATACAAATCAAAACCACAATGAGATACCACCTTACACTGGTCAGAATGGCTAAAATTAACAAATCAGGAAACAACAGATGTTGGTGAGGATGCGGAGAAAGGGGAACCCTTTTACACTGTTGGTGGGAATGGAAACTGGTGCAGCCACCCTGGAAAACAGTATGGAAGTTCCTCAAAAAGTTAAAAAGGGAGCTACCCTATGACTCAGCAATTGTACTTCTAAGTATTTATCCAAAGTATACAAATATAATGATTCAAAGGGGCACGTGTACCCAGCAATGTCCACAATAGCCAAACAATGGAAAGAGCCCAAATATCCATCAAAGGATGAATGGATAAAGAAGAGGTGGTATATATATACAATAGAATATTACTCAGCCATCAAAAAGAATGAAATCTTGTCATATGCAACAACATGGATGTAACTAGAGGGTATTATGCTAAGTGAAATAAGTCAGTCAGAGAAAGACAAATACCATATGATTTCACTTATATGTGGAATTTAAGAAACAAAACAGATGAACATAGGGGAAGGGAAAGAGAAATAAAGTGAAATCAGAGAGGAAGACAAACCATAAGAGACTCTTAACTATAGGAAACAAACTGAAGGTTGCAGGAGAAGAGGAGGATGGGGGTAATTGTGTCATGTGCCTTAAGGAGGGCACTTGGTGTAATGACCACTGGGTGTTGTATGCAACTGAAGAATCACTAAATTCTGCCCCTGAAACTAATAAAAAGAATATAAGCTTCTCTACCCCACAAAAAATGAAATAATTAAATCTAAAAGATAAAACATAGTCACCTCATCTATGTTCACTATATATTAATTTATAATTATTATTTTATATATCATTATTAATATAAAACATAATTTATACTATATAATTATTAACATACTTCATAATTAATATTAAATAATCAAATCTTATCAGAGAAAGACAAATAGCATATTATTTCACTCATGTGTGGAATTTAAGAAACAAAGCAAATGTCCACAATAGCCAAACTATGGAAAGAGCCAAGATGTCCATCAACAGATGAATGGATAAAGAAGATGTGGTTTATATATTTAATGGAATATTATGCAGCCATCAAAAGGAATGAAATCTTGCCATTTGCAATGACATGGATGGAACTGGAGGGTATTATGCTGAGCGAAATAAGTCAATCAGAGAAAGATATGTATCATATGATCTCACTGATATGTGGAATTCTTAATCTCAGGAAACAAACTGAGGGTTGCTGGAGTGGTGGGGGGTGGGAGGGATGGGGTGGCTCGGTGATAGACATTGGGGAGGGTATTGCTATGGTGAGTGCTGTGAATTGTGTAAGACTGTTGAATCACAGACCTGTACCTCTGAAACAAATAATACATTATATGTTAAAAAAAAAAAGAAGATAGTAGGAAGGTAGAAATGAAGGGGTGGAAATTGGTGGGGGAGATGAACCATGGGAGACTATGGATTCTGAGAAACAAACTGAGGTTTCTGAGGGGAAGGTGGTGGGGGGATGGGTTAGCTTGGTGATAGGTATTAAAGAGGGCACGTACTGAATGGAGCACTGGGTGTTATATGCAAACAATGAATCATGGAACACTACATCAAAAACTAATGATGTAATGTATGGTGATTAACATGACATAATAAAAAAAAAGAAACAAAACAAATGAACTGAGGGGGAAAAAGAAAAAAGAGGGGCAAATCAGAAAGCGGACTCTTAAATATAGAGAACAAACTGAGGGTTGATGAGGAAGGTAGGTAGGGGGACAGTTTAAATGGGTGTTGGGGATTAAGGAGTGCACTTGTTGTGATGAGCACTGGGTACTATATATAAGTGATGAATCACTAAATTCTACATCTGAAACGAATAGTAATGTTGTATGTTAACTAGCTGGAATTTAAATAAAAAACTGAAAAAGAAAAAAAAATGGGATGAGACTAATGATGTAGTATAAGTTGGCTAATTGAATTTAAATAAAAGTAAAAAATGAGATGAAAATTAATAAATTAAAAATAATTAAATCTTAAGAACTTAAATAAAACAGTCACTTCAATGAAAGCAATCTTCCACCAGGTAATTGCCCTTGGAGTGGTCACTGACTTTTCTCTGCCTATCATGTTCTGGTGGAATTAAATTGCTCTTAGTTCTATGATGGCCATGGTTGTACTGGAGAAGATAAGGACAGTGAGAATTTGCATTTACTGGGTGGGTGTTCCATAAAGGAGAGAACTGGATGCAGCAGAAATGGCCACAATTATAGCTGGGACTCCATAGCCCACAGGAAACATGAACTTCTTCATGACCCTGCTCACACTGGAGTAGTTGAACACCATCAGGTTGCGTGCAGTGAGGAAGAGGTGCAGACCTTCCAGCAGCATCCAGGTGAAGGATGCCAGGTAGAGATAGCGTAGGACACCCGCAGTGATGGTGCACAGCACCTGGGGGAGGAGAAAGGTGTCACCAGGAGGGACTGTCAGGGAGGAGGGTGGCCCCAGGACCTTTCCCATACTTTGCCATTGAAGAGAACTCATGTATATGGTCACATTGTCAGGAGAGGGTTTGTCTTCTAGTTCATTAGTCAATGTGAAATAGGCTACTTACCCCTCTAACCTCCCCAGGACCCAAGGCTATTTTATCAGTGCTCCACGAAATGATCATCACGTAGGACAGGGCAGGGGGTCCTCTGTGGCAGTGTTAGTACCTTGATCTCAGTCCGGTCAATGGCCATGAGGAAGAGCAGGTGGGCCAGGAAGAGGCAGATTGAAAGCTGCAGGTGGATCGAGGTGCTGGTGTTCTGGATGGTTTTGCACAGCAGGAAGGTGAGGGCTGCCAGGAGGAGGCATAGCAGAGAGAGGTCCAGCCCCAGGTAGGTGATCACAGCCAGCACGGGATCCTCCTCCTGGTACCCATCAACGAGGAGATCACAGTCATATTTTTTTTAAAGATTTTATTTATTTATTTATTTAAGAGAGAGAGAATGAGAGAGAGAGCAAGCATGAGAGGGGGGAGGGTCAGAGGGAGAAGCAGACTCCCTGCTGAGCAGGGAGCCCAATGTGGGACTCGATCCTGGGACTCCAGGATCATGACCTGAGCTGAAGGCAGTCACTTAACCAACTGAGCCACTCAGGTGCTCCACAGTCACATTTTTAAAAGCACAGACTAGAATAGCAAAACTTAAAAACCCTGATAGTACCAAATGCCAGCAAAATGAAGCAGCTGGAACTCTCATACACCGCTATTTGAGAATATAAAGGGTAACAACTGTTTTGAAATGGAGTTTGGGAGTTTTTTAAATAAAGTTAAACATACACTAATGCTAAAATACACCTATCATAGGATTCAGCAATTCCATTTCTGGGTATTTACCCAAGAGAAATGTAAACAAATGTCCACAAAAACAATCTTTAAGATGGGTTAGCCTGGTGATGGGTATTAAAGAGGGCATGTACTGAATGGAGCACTGGGTGTTATATGCAAACAATGAATCATGGAACACTACATCAAAAACTAATGATGTAATGTATGGTGATTAACATAACATAAAAAAAAAAGAATCTTCTATATCAGCTTTATTCATAATAGCCGAAACTGCAAGCAATGCAAATGCCCATTAACTGGAGGACAGATAAACAATTTGTGGAATAATCATATATTAGGATACTATATAGCAGTATAAAGGAATGAACTACTGTTACACACAGTAACATGGTAGAATCTCATAGAATGTTGAGTAAAAGAAGCCAGACACAAAGGAGAATAATTCTACTCTATTGAATGACTCTGGGGTAGTCAAAAGTAAACTATAGTGATAAAATTAGATCTGTGGTTTCCTGTGGGTAGGGATGGGAACACTGAGAGTGTACTGAGTGGCTTTCTGAGGTGATGGAAGGGTTCTATAGCTCAGTGAGAGTTGTAGTTCAGGGTGTTTAGAATTGGGAAAACTTATGATGTGTACACTTATAATCTGATTTTTATTGCAATAATATTGTACCCCAATAAAATCAATTTTTAAAAAAATGAATTACTTGAGTGTCTGATGTCTAGAAGAGAAGTAGAGCTCATATAAACTCAGCAGTATCTGTGTGACAGGATAATTCTCCTTCAAGATATCAGGCCTTTGACTATTAGGGTTGTATTTTGATGCTGAAACTAAGTTTTTTGTATTTTGTATTTTGATGCTGAAACTAAGTTTTACATGTTGCTCTTCTGGAAGTGATACTTCAGTCCTACCCATTGCAATGACCTGAGATCACCTTCATGAGTATTTGTACCAGCTCAGCTAAAAAATAATAATATTCTTGGGCTGGGAAAAATAACATGGACCACAAAAGCACATGCACTTATCTTTTTCCCCTATTCCCCTCCCATATCTTCCCACTGCTAATGATTCATTCCAAATTCTAGTACTTATCAAGCTTTAAAGAAATCCTTGTTTGCAAGAAAAAGTTAATTATTTTGGTATTGAAAAAGGTGGCCCAAAGGTTGCACGTACACACACACACACACACACCTGTTCCTGGAAATGCTTCAAATGTCACAGTGTAATGAAAACCAAAAACATCATTTCCACTTTCTGTGAAAATAGAGAATAATTGGAAGAGATGTTAATATCAGAGAAGACTGACTGGAAGTGCACATTGGAGGAAACCTGAATAATCTGTTTCACGATTACAACAGTGGGAATGATGTGGGCAGGAGTCTCCTTCTACTAGTTTATTTAAAGATTCAGAGGAGCTGAAGCTAAGTGTTTAATTATACAAAAGACCCATATTTGCAGGAAGAAGTTTGGCTCTAGTTGTGGAGGAAAACTGGTTTTGTATGTGAAAGCCCCACTGCTGACTTCTAATTTTGGTTAGATAAATTTTTAAAACTCACATAAAAGCCATGAAAACCTGTAATATAGCCCTGAACATGTTTTTACATACATATCTTGGAAATCACTCCTCCAGGAAACACCATCTGCCTTAAAGATAAGTGATCAAAAGGAACAAACACAGATCTATACAAAATATTATACAAAATATCACCAGAAATAAAGGAGGAAGAAAGAAAAAAAATGTTAGTAAGGATTACTCATGAAATAATTGTTAACTTGGAGCAGAAGAAAGTTGTGACATTATTTACCCTGAACAAAGGAAGCGCTTGCCTTTATAAGTAAGAATTGGAAAGCAGAGATATAAGGCATCAGAGAAGAGAAATCTTAAGAAGTTGTGTGTTACAAAAGCCCAGTAGATAAATAGAAGGAAAAAACCCTCTAGAAATGAAGGCAAGATTTAAAGAGGTCATATTAAAAAAGGACCTATTGAAGCATAGTTTAAGAGATATAGAGAACAAGGAGGAGGAGCAAGATGGCCGAGGAGTAGGACACCTAAATTTCATTTGGTCCCAGGAATTCAGCTAGATAGGTATCAAACCATTCTGAACACCTACAATGAAACAGGAGAATGGGTCAACCAGGAAATTAAAGAAGGATTTAAAAAATTCATGGAAACAAATGAAAATGAAAGCACAACTGTTCAAAATCTTTGGGATGCAGCAAAGGCAGTCCTAAGAGGAAAGTATATAGCAATACAAGCCTTTCTCAAGAAACAAGAAAGGTCTCAAATACACAACCTAACCCTACACCTAAAGGAGCTGGAGAAAGAACAACAAATAAAGCCTAAACCCAGCAGGAGAAGAGAAATAATAAAGATCAGAGCAGAAATCAATGAAATAGAAACCAAAAGACAGTAGAACAGATCAATGAAACTAGGAGCTGGTTCTTTGAAAGAATTAATAAGTTGATAAACCCCTGACCAGACTTATCAAAAAAAAAAAGAGAGAGAGAGAAATGACCCAAATAAATAATATCATGAATGAAAGAGGAGAGATCACAACCAACACCAAAGAAATACAAACAATTATAAGAACATGTTGTGAGCAACATATGCCAGCAAATTAGACAATCTGGAAGAAATGGATGCATTCCTAGAGACGTATAAACCACCAAAACTGAACCAGGAAGAAATAGAAAACCTGAACAGACCCATAACCAGTAAGGAAATTGAAGCAGTAATAAAAAATCTCCCAGTAAACAAGAGCCCAAGGCCAGATGGCTTCCCAGGGGAATTCTACTAAACATTTAAGAAGAATTAATACCTATTCTTCTGAAACTGATCCAAAAAATAGAAATGGAAGGAAAACTTCCAAACTCATTTTATGAGGCCACCATTACCTTGATCCCAAAATCAGACAAAGACCCCATCAAAAAGGAGAAATACAGACTAATATCCCTGATGAACATGGATGCAAAATTCTCATCAAAATACTAGCCAATAGGATCCAACAGTACATTAAAAGGATTATTCACCATGACCAAGTGGGATTTATCCCTGGGTTGCAAGGTTGGTTCAACATCTGCAAATCAATCAATGTGATACACTACATTAATAAAGAAAGAACAAGAGCCATATGATCCTCTCAATAGATGCAAAAAAAGCATTTGACAAAGTAAAGCATGGTTTCTTGATTAAAACTCTTCAGAATGTAGGGATACAGGGTAATACCTTAATATCATAAAAGCCATCTATGAAAAACCCACAGTGAATATCATTCTCAATGGGGAAAAACTGAGAGCTTTTCCCCTAAGGTCAGGAACATGGCAGGGATGTCCATTATCATCACTGCTATTCAACATAGTACTAGAAGTCCGAGCCACAGCAATCAGACAACAAAAAGAAATAAAAGGCATCCGAATCAGCAAAGAAGTCAAACTCTCACTCTTTGCAGATGATATGACACTTTATGTGGAAAAGCCAAAAGACTCCACCCCAAAGCTGCTAGAACTGATACAAGAATTCAGTAAAGTGGCAGGATATAAAATCAATGCATAGAAATCAGTGGCATTTCTATACACCAACAACAAGACAGAAGAAAGAGAAATTAAGGAGTCGATCCCATTTACAATTGCACCCAAAACCATAAGATACCTAGGAATAAATCTAACCAAAGAGGCAAAGGATCTGTACTCAAAAAACTATAAAATACTCATGAAAGAAATTGAGGAAGACACAAAGAAATGGAAAAACGTTCCATGCTCATGGATTGGAAGAACAAATATTGTGAAGATGTCAATGCTACCTAGAGCAATCTACACATTTAATGCAATCCCTGCCAAAATACCAACCACTTTTTTCAAAGAAATGGAACACATAATCCTAAAATTTGTATGGAACCAGAAAAGACCCTGCATAGCCAGAGGAATGTTGAAAAAGAAAAGCAAAGCTGGCGGCATCACAATTCCGGACTTCAAGCTCTATTACAAAGCTGTACTCATCAAGATGGTATGGTACTGGCACAAAAACAGACACATAGATCAATGGAACAGAATAGAGAGCCCAGAAATGGACCCTCAACTCTATGGGCAACTAATCTTTGACAAAGCAGGAAAGAATGTCCAATGGAAAAAAGACAGCCTCTTCAACAAATTGTGTTGAGAAAATTGGGACAGCCACATGCAGAAGAATGAAACTGGACCATTTCCTTACACCAC